GCGCACGCACACCCCTGTGCGTACGACGCCAGTGAAGATGCAGTCTAATTACACAACAGCGACAGGGGTTTTTCGCCTATGAATTTGACCTGGTTTTATACAGTCATTATCCTGTTTAGTCACACAGTCTTAATGGTGTCCATGACATCTGTCTCCAGGCAGAATCTTTTTTTTTCCTCCCTTCTTATCAATTTCTGAAGCAAAGCCTCGTTATTTTTTAACATTCATTACAAGGAAAGAAATCATCTTACTGCTTGGTAACTGGTTCTCTTTTGACAAAAATAAACTGTGGATTTTGCAGCCAAAAATAATCGTTGCATTTGTTGTATTTTTTCTTTCTTTTTTTACCTTGTGTTTTTCACTGACCAGCACTCGTCATCCACCTGCCTGTTCATTTTTCTACCTCAACAAAGACTATGCTAAATAGGCTGTGCTAATGTCCCTGCGCGGCATCCATTACCATACATCTCACACTCTGTTAGTGGCTTCTCTTATGCTGGTGTAGAAGGGGCTGAAAGGTAGCTCATTTTCATGACATGCTGTTCTTTGTGTGCTGTGATCACCGGCAGCAGTAAATATAGCTCTTTTGGCAGAGGCCTGCTAAGAGGATCATAGCCCACAATAGGTGGTCTTCTCACTGCAGATATCAAAAATGCCAAAGAATCTGCTTGTACACATGTACATGATGCATGCTTGCACAGACACACACTCCCACAGCAGCAGCAGCAGCAGCAGCGTATAAACACCCATACACTGACACCTCCCCTGAGAAGGTTCTCTCCTCCTCGCAGGTATAATTGTGTTTCTGCTATGCTTTGCTCCTCTCCGTTCAGTTGTGACTGGGTCCCCAGAAGAAAAGCCATAATTAAAAGAGAAAAGTTGTGTTTGCTGCGAAGATGGGATGGGTGCAGGCGAGGACAGAGAGGGGAGAGAAAGATTAGCCACAACAAAGCTTCACCAGGCCACAAAACAGTCTCAAGTAGCTGGAAAGACAAAGGACTCGAATGCTTTTATCTCCCAATAAAAAAAAAAAAAGTCCTCCAAATCCCTCCGGCTAAGCTGCCATAACTAAAGCCTGCTTTTTGGCATAGGTGCTCACTGAATGTGTTGGACAACAAAAGCAGCAAAATATGAGAAGATAGACCAAGCTCCCAAGAAATATATATATATATATAAAGCCCCATTCATTTTGTGCAGAGAAGTAAAAAGTCAAGTGCCTTAGTGGTGGCATTTGAGAAAAGGTTACTGGTTATTTGCTTATCTTGTTTGTGTGCGCGTGTAGATGTGTGCGAGTGCTTCAGTGAAAGCATGGAGTGGATGGTCATTTTCTCCCTTTTGCAATTTTGCGATGTAAATGAGATCACAGAATGAAGGAGATTAGGCGGTCTCTATCTGTCTGAGTTGAAACAGCTGTGATAACGCTCCAAACCCAATTTCTAGCCACTTAAACGGGAATACGAGTTACGTGCAAAGGAGAGGGTTGATTTGCGAGACATACTTCCTTTTTTCAAGCTCATGTGCGACACACGCACGTGTAGTACGCGCACATGAAATATGTGCGTACACCTTCCCACGCCTCACCTCTGGGTGAGGGAGTAATGGGAGGTGCTGATGAGGTAAGGCAGTGGATAGAACAATACAATAAGAACACACGTATTTGAGTAATCTAACATGCTCATGTATCAAGTTATCCAAAACTACTCAGATTATGTTTGATGTCATTTACTATTTCAAAAGCTTGCAGGTAGCTTGTATTTGGCAGCTGATTACATTTCATAATAGTATGATCCATCCCTGCATGCGAGGCCTTTATAGCGTGTGAAGAATGCGCACAGGCATACATAAAAAGAGCAGCACCCTCAGGGAGGAATCACTGAAAGAAGAGTCATAAAACTGAAGATGTATGGCCACTCTGAAGGGATTTTAACATGGAAATAACTGCACGGTATTATTACACGGCGCATGTGGCTGATGCAACAACTAAATCCACATGCTTCAGCCACCTTGGCCACCTGAACATCATTTATCTTGCACTGTGCACTTTATGGTGTTGTGGACAATTTACAGCAGTTTTCCACAGGTAACGCTCCTCTGTTTGCAGGGGTACTTGCTATCTTGCTTCTTTCCGTCTAAAACATCTGGAGGGGCTTGCTGGGGGGGGGGCAGTAAAACTCCTGAAAGCCTCTCACATCAACACAGAGAAGCTTTGCGTAAAGGAGTATATTTTAAACACCTATCTCAGCATAGGGAACAAAGTTCTGCCAAGGAAAGAAAGCACGCCTGCATGACTCCTGACCCTCTGGCCCCCTTTAATCCTGCAGAATGACTCCCTGAGGTCCATGCACCGAGGGCCCAGCGGGAATGGGTCACCCAGCAGATGCCTGCCTGCTTAAACTCTTCTGATTTCATTGCCCCGAGGTCTGAGAACTCCATCGCCCCTTTGAAGTGTTGATTTTGTTCTGAAGAATCCCACCAAACCCCGCCACCCGATAAATATGGCTCCCTGTATGAAACTGGAGCCTCGTAATATGCTGGCTCCTTTTGAGGAAAATAAGCATTTCTTCAAATCTCTTGATACTAGACGCAGCTTTGTTTTGTTTTACAATCAGATTAGTGGATAATCCTGTCTCCGCTTTGACACAGAAATTACTGTTAGGGCAGGTGGGAGTTCATTCATCAAGTCTGGAAAGTAAAGTTCATCCAAACACTGTAAGAGCGTATGTTACCATTACTTGAGTGGGTGGTAGGCATGTCCAGGCTGTGTGAGAACAAGGCAATCTACAGTGAGCAACTTACGGGTTAAATGTAATGAGAAAATTAGAAAAGGACAAAAAACAAACAAAAAACCCCCAGAAAGCATTAACTTATTTCACAAAAATCTGCTCACCCAACCGAGTTTATTGAGTATAAAAGATCTTCGGGGCTGGCAAATAAAGAAACAAGTAAATCTGATAAGAAAGCGACTGGTTTTGCAGCAGCTTGCAGCCTCCCAGTGTTAAACCAGGGGTGTCTGACTGTTCCTTTCTGTGTACCAGAGGTAAAGAGGAGCAATTTGTCGCCAATTGCTTGACGTATTCTCTTGGCAATAGGAACAGAGAAGCTGTTAGGTAACATCTCTTTCCTTCCAACATCTTCTGTCTGTTTCATCTCACTCTGCTTAACACACAGGATCTGAGACTGTCATTCTACACATTTTTAGAAATGTGGTACTTAACAACCCCATCACAGTAATCTGCCTTTGATTTACTCTCTTTGTGTTGGGCTGTATTACTCTGGAATCCAATCTCTTTCTCTGTTTTTTCCCTCCAAGACTGAATTTCTCCGTTTGTGGCTTAGCATATGTGATTGAATAGAGTCCTATGTGATCAATAGAGTTCATTAAATGTCCCTATGGGAAGCTATCTCAACCTGAAGCTTTCTACATTGTGTTTACCTGCAGCTCGCTTTGCTTTATCAATTCAAGTAGTTTCACTTTTGCTTATGGCATAATATATTTTATAATTAAATTCCTCATTCCTGGCCATCCTCTGCTATTTTCCTAAATGTACACTGAAGTATCCATTTGGTTCCCTTCAGTATGGGCTGTGGGCTTTGGGGTGGGGATGTTAGAAAGGTTTGGTGTAGCTGTATGTTTTTGATGGGTAGGTGTTAGATGGATTTCCAAAGGAAGGCTGAAGGAAAGAGTGGCTGCACCTGTTGTTCCCTGCGGTTGCTGTGTGGTGGGGTTAGCACCTGCTCGCACGGCTGCTGTGTGGATGTCTGTGTGGGCAGCAGGGATAACAGGGAAACCATTCACACCCGCTCCAAGTGCTGTCTGCAGCCCCTCTCCCTCAACACTTGTGCTTTCTGCTCCATCATTTCTTTTTCTGTGTTTTTTACCCCCCCTGTAGTTTATGCCAGGACTGCTTCATCCTTTGCATTGTTAGCCTGTCTGTCTTTTTCTGTCTGTCACCAACCATCTCTTTTTGCCTTTCAGCTCGCACAGAAAAACAAACACAAATTACAGCAGCTGGAAGCTGTAATAGTCCTTCTGTGGAACTTGATAGCTTTTAGTATGAAGGGTGAAGTTGTAAACAGTGAACTACATGTAACTGTTAAATCACTTCAGTAGAAGCTGGGACAGCGGTGACTGAGCACTTAACTTTGGCTATAGAGGTTGTGAGTGCGCAGGCTGGTTATGGACTATTCGGGTGTCAGTTCTTGTAACTGTAAAAGGCACATTTAGGAGAAAAGACATAAAGTGACTTCAGTTTGTGTCACTCTGTGACTGAACCTATGCGATGAAAATATTGAGGCACATGTGTCTATGTGTAAATTCACAACAATTTTCCATTTCTTCAATTTCATTTCATTTATCAACTGTTTTCTTTGCGCATTCACCCTGTAACCACACAAGTGAGTAATGACATAATCAATCGACTTTATGGCTTCTAAATGATCACATCTGACCTTTTCTCTTGTTAAAGAAATAAAAAAAAAAACACTTGCAAACACTAAAGAAAACCATCATAAATGTACACAGAGGGGCAGTAAAATACGTCACCGGGGAGCAATGGGCACAAATCACGACCTATGATCCAATCCAAATGAAAATGTTAATTAAGCCGTATCCGTCGTTTTAATGTTACATGGTAATGTGCATTGTGAGTCTTTATTTATTTAAATATTTAGTTATTTTGCTGAGACATCACTCAAGCCTATAAAGAATAAGCATTTCAAAACCATATGCAACACGTGAAAGCAAAATGATGAAGATTTGCACGTCATACGCAAATAACACCAAACTTGCACAGCAGACACAAAGAGCAGCTCGTGCCCACAAAGGTCCAGACGGTACCACATCCAAGCCGGAGGACTGTAATAATGCAGCATGGCGTTTAGTGGCAGTAATAAAATTGCACACTTATACACTACCTGTTCACCCCAACCACCCTCCGTTTCCCTCAAAGCATCTGTTCATCTATCCATCTCCAAACCCCACCATCATTTGGCATACTCACCGCGCCAGATGGCCAGGTATTGGAGGGTGAGGCAGGTGCCAATCGCCAACTCGCCCTCGCCGGTCGATCTTCTTCTTTTCTATGATGAAACCGGGGTTGAGTAGCACAGCTCGGGGGTATTCAAAACCTCTCTAAAATTGCGCTCCTCAGCCGCACCTCACCTGTCCCTTCCCTCTGTTGTGCGTCGCCGTAGCATCACTGCGCGTCCAAAACGCCCAGTCAACTAAACGTTTGGGGTTTTTTCTCCTCCCTGAAGGAAAAGAGTCCGTAGTGTAATTGCGTAAAATCTACTGAGGTTTCTGTGATCTCGAATGCGTTTTGCGTCCCGTTAGGTTTGTTCCGATCCTTGCAAATTCCCCAAATCCTGCAATTGCGGGGCAGTATGAAGTCTTCTTTCAAGAGGTACCGTGCAGTTTTCTGCACTTGGTCGAGCTGCGGCTTTGAAATCAGTTGTCAGCAAAATCTAATCCCCTTTTTAAATTTACAGTGGCGAGGTGAAACGTCCAACGCAGAGCAGGCACAGTGACAACAGGGGCCCATAATTCACACCCCCATGAAACACAGTCCTGCAGTGGATCAATGATGAATGGAGGACCTCTCTCTCTCTCTCTCTCTCTCTCTCTCTCTCTCTCACACACACACACACACGCGCGCGCGCGCGTCCAGGTCTATACGTACTGCATGTTGTGAGTTACAGAACATAAACATAAAGCTGCAGAGTGAACTAGCACATTAACAATATTTTGCCAAATAATAAAAATACCCGAATAAAGCTTATGACTAAATACATAACTGGCAGACGCCTTCACCTTAATGAATACAAAGAGGGTTTAAAGACAAAGACATGCACCTCTACTTCTTATTTAGGAAAATGGTGAAATAATAAGTAGACAGATGTAGGGCCGGATCTATACCAAAATATCACCAAATAACACTTGTTTTAATTGTAAACGACATCAGCAAAAATACATGAAAATATATGGATATATATCTGTTATTCATTGCATAAAAGCAAACTCAAACAAACAAACACACAAACAAGCAAAAAGTGTTAATCAGATAAAATAAAAATAATTAATAAAAATATCCTTGCTCTCAAATTCATTATAAGGTTAGTTTAGCATACTGTATTTATATTTTTTCTTTTTCTTTTTCCTGCCATGTTCTTTTACTAACCTTATTTGAGGTATTGTATTATTACATTTATCTCTCTTTTATAGTTCTCTGTCTCATATTACCTACAGACATATGCATTTCATCACATGTAGGTATCAGGACATTGGTTGTCCACCCTGTTTCCCACCACATAGTTATACAAATAGTTTTACATATGCATATACACAGATATGTCTGGATCAATGCAAACTAAGTCAGTAAGGAATTTTGAAGGGCTGCTATGCCACATTGGTCTCTGTTTTTAAGTCCTTCATCACATAATTGGGCATAATGCGAAGAGTGGGTTGAGAGGGTTATTAGTGTGAGTGGTGAGTGCTAAGAATGCAGTGGATCTGAGAGCTTGGGATGGGGGTGCAAATAATTGTGGAGGCAGTAAACAAAGACAAGATTTTGCATTCAGAAAGCTAGGACTTCCTAAAAACTAAGAATAAATAAAATAAATGATATCTAGTTGGTCTCATTTTGTTTTGTTTTTACTCCATGTTATTGAAATAATAGAGCGTGCACACACGCACATAAATCCATTCTGCTGCATAATAAGCACCTTCAAGCTCGACACAGCTGCATTTTGCAGTACTTCTGGGCTTATAATTAAGATTTTAAATGCAGCATATTTACTACTGATTGAGTATTTTCTGCACTGTGGCATTGGCTCATTCTCACTGCTGTTCCAACAAATAGCACATTTTCAAATACATTTTGTCTCCAGTGAATATGAAAAAACAAACAAACCCTTACTTCTGTGACCTGCTGTTCGAGCTATTTTAATTTAATCTCCCAGATTCACGGATTTGATTAAATATGCTCTATTATTATTATTATTATTATTATTATTATTACTATTATTATTAGTAGTAGTATTAGCATTAGTACTAGTATTATTATTTTGTTAAAATTTTGAAGAACTTTGTAAACCCCTCCACCTATTTTGTCCTTTGTAATTACACTGGTGTTACCCATATAACTGACACTATATAGAAAAGATTGACAGTGTGCAATAATAAACAATGATAAATAAAATGATAACTGAATGTCACTGTTTAAATTTACTTGCGGACAATATCTATTAAAAAATAAATTTCAAGATAATAAATTATTGCTGTCACATTATAATAAAGCTTTAAAAGGGATTACGTTCTTACGTCACTTCCGGTTGTCGTAAGACAGTAGTAGAAAAAAAATCTGTTTGCCATGAATATCAGCTAGCTAGCCACCGACAGCTGTTAGTACACTTGAGTAAAATCATCCATGTCAAGGCAAAAGAGGGAATATCGAAGTCTTGTGCTGCTTCTGTGTACAAATAGGGGCACACCTTCCTGCCTCCAAGCCTACTGTGAATCGGTAAGCAGCTCGCATTTAGGATACCTTGCTAACGAGCTAGCCGCCGCTAGCTGCTTGCCTCGCTAACGCTAAGTGATGATCTATTCGACTCGGAGCTGATATTAACGTGTGCACCGGCTAGTGTGCAGCAGCAGCGTGGCCCTTATCTAGCTCATCGGTCGCATGCATTGCTATGCCAGCAGTCTGCTGCAGTTATACAGCCAACATCGATGGCTAACACTAGAGGTTATTATCGTTAACCATGTAGCTACCGTTAGCATATCGCTCTGTGTGACTGTCTGCTGAGGGGGTGTTGAATTTAAGCACTCTTGTCCACCCGTTTCAAGGGTATCTAAATAACCTTAATCTCCCCCTGAGAGGTTAGGAGCTACAGTCCACACCTGAAGTTAAATATTTCATATTTACTTAAGATTATGGGTCGTGTGCAATGATGTCAACAACAGCAGACAAATAATGGGTTGTCACATACTTTCCACAAAGCTGATCTCATCCTCATACGATTTCAGGATGCTATTGACTTTTATAATTGTATATGACCTAAATGTAATCCAAAGCAGCGGCGACTGTTTTAGACTGAGACTCATAAAGCGGCCACGCCTTTGTAACTGTATATTGCCATGTATAATTTTGTCGTGTTGCGCGACGCAAAACCATTTTAAACATTTCTTTCTTTCTTCATCTTCTTCTTTTTCTTCCTAAAAAGATCCAGCTGGCTCAGTGACAAGACCAGAGGACGTTGGCACCATTGTGTGCCAGTAGATTTCAAGATACTGGGATTTTTGAATCCAGGTACATCCATAACAGGACATAGCAGGGTTTCCCCAAGGCAGCTGGTTAGCAGAGGTGGTTAAACTATTTGTGTGTAGCCATCCACCCAAAACCGAAATTTTTATTCACTTTGAAAAACACTCTTCACCAATCAGTCTGTTTAAATTAACTTATAGTTCTTTTGGCATCACATCTCATCTTCAGTGTAGTTAGCAGATGGCAGTTTAAATCTTTGCCTCACTGATTAAATATTTTTCCTTTGCTGAATGATGTGATACCACTACTCTTCTCATAAGCTAAATCATCTTTCCATCCATCTTTTACTTATCCAAATTAAGGTTGGTGGGGTGTGGGTGGCTGGAGCTAGTCCAGATAAGAGGCAGGGTACACCCTGGACAGGTTACCAATTTTTGCAGGGTTATTGCATAGAGACAGAACAACCATTCGCTAATCACTAATTAATCTGACCCCATTCATGACTTTGGCATGTGGGAGGAAGCTGGAGTACCCGGGGAACCCACAAAGACATAGAAATAACATGTAAAGGAAAGACAACAGTTCTATCAACTGCACCATTGTAGCGTTGTAAGCTTAATCAGCCAAACAATAATAAATATGTAAAAAAAACAAATTTTTTTAAACAAAGAAAGAAACTGTGGGAAACCCTGTTGTGAACTAGTGGTTAAAGGCTTTGCTTGTAGCATGTTGTTTTTGTTCTGTTTTTCCTGACTCCTAATTATTCTGTCTGCTATATCTGTATTTCCACCAGAAGATGAACGGTCTGTCCATACGAGAGCTATGCTGCCTCTTCTGCTGCCCCCCATGCCCAAGCCGCATTGCAGCCAAACTGGCTTTCCTCCCCCCAGAGCCCACCTATGCTCTTCTCCCTGACCCAGATCCAGTTTCTGGGGCTGGAGCGGCATCTGGGTCCACGTCTGCGACTGGTCTCCCTTCTCTCGGAGCCCCTGGACTTCGCTCTCGACTCAGCACTGCTAGCGGAGGTGACAGAGGAGGCGGCGGCGGTGGTGTTGGAGGTGGTGGCGGTGGTGGAGGAGGAGGTGGTGGTAGCAGTAGTGGCAGTGGTGGTGGCAGCAGTGTTGGGAGTGAGGGCAGGTGGAAGCTGCATCTCACAGAGAGAGCAGAGTTCCAGTATTCACAGAGAGAGCTGGACGTGACGGATGTATTCCTGACCAGATCTAGCCGAGGAAACAGGGTTGGATGCATGTACATTCGCTGTGCCCCAAATGCCAGGTGAGAGGCACAGCAGCACCTGGAAACCATGAGACATTTTTTGGATAAGTGGATCACAACCTTGTGTGTCTGTATTTAGAATGCAGTTGTTTGTGGGATTTCACACCAACCCTGGGCCGCACAACTCGCTGCCTAACTTCCTTTTTTCCAATTTTTCTGCTTTGTCCCTCAGGTTCACTGTTCTGTTTTCCCACGGTAATGCAGTAGACCTGGGCCAGATGAGCAGTTTCTACATCGGATTAGGGACCCGCATCAACTGCAACATCTTCTCTTATGATTACTCAGGCTACGGCGTTAGCACTGGCAAGCCTTCTGAGAAGAACTTATATGCTGACATTGATGCTGCCTGGCACGCCCTGCGCTCAAGGTAAGAAGGCCCAAATTCAGTCCTTGGTGGGTCCAAACCTAATGGGCAGCAAGCATGAAATGCCATTTAAGTTTTTAAGGGCCACTTACATCACTGACTGGTAACTTTTTGAAAAAAACAAAACCCAAATAAACAAAAAAAACATTTGGTTGGCTCATGAAAGCTTTTTCCCTGCTGACCACAGTGGCTTCTCTCTGTCGTTCAGCCAGTGTAGTCACAGCTAAACAGTGGCTCGCAGTCAAACAGTAGGATGACATACTGTGCTCTACGTGAAGTGGTGCATCTAATATTCTTCTTTCTTACTTGTCCCTCTTGTTTATCTGCTGCCATCATAGTTAATGAGCCTAATGTTGGTAGAAAATTAACATTTCCAGATGGCACCGCAGAGGACGCTGAACAAATAAAACAAGATTCTGGTTTATTTCAACATTTTATTTTTGTGCTTTTCAATGTGGCTTATGCCACGTATGTTTGTGCTTTTGAACAAGTTTTCCCCCAAACTTTTTTACATGCATGAATCCCTTTTGTTTTTATTTATTTTTTTCTTGTTCACGCGAATCATTTTCTTTTCTTTCCCCATCCTGCCAGCTGGCCTAATCACCCTGCCAACTGTGCAAACTGTGAGTGTAACTAGCAATTACAGCAAACAGTAAACAGATTAACTACTGTAACTCAAGCTTATGTGTGCAAGCATAAAAAAA